ATAATCGAGTGCCTATCGGCTATTACCTTCGTTATCCTTCTCCACAATCCATATGGGTCTTCATTTTGAACTAGATAGATCACAACTATTTATAGCACGCAATGTAGTCAAAATTTTGATTTTAATCTTAAATTTTACGATTTTACCTATGTGTTTCGATCATGATTTTATTACTAAATCTTTGAACCCTAAAATCCTATAAAATCCCAATTTAAAACCTTAAAGTCCTTAAAATCTACGATTTTTACGATTTTATTTGATTTTAAGGTTCACATCAATTAGAGCAAAATCAAGCTGGTCGGGTCGGGTTTTGCCAATGAACCAGTTCAATTTCACTTCCCCCGACACAACACATGGACAACACAACCCTACCCTAATATGCAACCCTCAAGTTCACTTCCCCTGACATGTATGCAACCCTCAATTTACTATCATTCTCTTTTTCTTCCGCAAGAAGACACCCAACTCCTTTCATCAACGATTTCCTCCATCACCCTCTCAATTAACTCGTTTGTTTGTTACCCCGTCACCCTCGCAATTATCCCAATCCCCATCCCCTTGCAAGCTTTTGTTCGTCTCTCAAACTTTTAGTGCCTCCATCCCACCCTTGCAATTAGCTCAATCCCCATCCCCTTGCAAGCTTTTGTTCGTCTCTCACACCTTTAATGCCACCATCCCTGACCTTCTCTCAATCACGAAGGGAATGCATCAATCAATTAGTTACATTTGCAGGATGATGGCGATCAAGGAAATATGGATGGTGTTGAAGTATTTGAAGTGATCTTGAGAATAATGATATTATTGCTCAAACAAAAAGACAAAGATTATACGAGGATGAAAGTGAGGGTGAGGGTGAGGGTGTGGGTGACGATGACGATGTTGATGATTTAGATGTTAATGTTGATCCTAACGATCTTATGTGATTTTTTCTATTAACTAGATTAAGTTATTTCTATGAGGTTTCAAGTTGCATATTTTTTTTGTTTATCATCTATCTATCTATCTATCTATCTATCCATATACATACATAATATTATGGCAATTCAAAATTAAATTTTTGCCACATAAGCACTTGGAGAGATCTCAAGTTGCCAAGGTGGACAATATTTTTACAAAAAAAAAATAGTTATTGACATGTTTATGGAGTTGTCCCTCTATCTTCATTTAATATTTAATTCTATTTTATCCAATAATTATTTTGCTTTTGTTTTTGCATTATATCTATAAATAATATATGGAGAGAAAGGTTCAAACCGGTTTAGCAAGTGGAATGGTTTTACCAGTGGTACAACCGGTTTGTGTCATTTCATGCCGGTTAATAAAATATGTAGAAATATAAAAAATCATTAATATCAAATGAATTTAATCATACATAAACCATATTTGAATACAATTAACGTACAATTCATATTGATATTTGAATAAAATAATTAAATTTTTGCCACATAAGCACTTGGAGAGATCTCAAGCTGCCAAGGTGGACAATTTTTTTACAAAAAAATAGTTATTGACATGTTTATGGAGTTGTCCCTATCTCTTCATTTAATATTTAATTCTATTTTATCCAATAATTATTTTGCTTTTGTTTTTGCATTATATCTATAAATAATATATGGAGAGAAAGGTTCAAACCGGTTTAGCAAGTGGAATGGTTTTACCAGTGGTACAACCGGTTTGTGTCATTTCATGCTGGTTAATAAAATATGTAGAAATATAAAAAATCATTAATATCAAATGAATTTAATCATATATAAACCATATTTGAATACAATTAACGTACAATTCATATTGATATTTGAATAAACAATTCATATTGATATTTGAATAAAATATGATATCTCAACTAAAATTACATTTACTCATACTTAAATTCACTAAAACAACATATTTTACTTAGAAATTCGTACAACGATCATACTGATGGTGTCATGTCGATTTCATGACCGATACCGGTTGAATGGTTCAACCGGTGGCATGCCGACCGACGTGACAATCATGATGCATGGAGTGTGACATATATCACATTTTGGTTTTGCATTATATCGATGTACGCAACAGTATACTAATGTTCTTAATGACACATATATATCACACTTTTTAAACCAAAAAAATATACGATTAAAGATTACTATGTAAATTTATGCTCATGTTTACTAAAACTTAATAATAATTTAAATTTTAATGAATAATTTAAACAAACACACAAAAATAATAATAATTTGTCGATAAGGTATGAAAGAAACTTGACCAAGAAATAATAGTTATTTATTAAAAAAGCTTCGTATTCATTCTGATCAAGTGAAAACATATGAATCGCATGTGTAGTATTAATAATGTATCCTAAGTTCACATTACTAATATTTTCTCTAGGTCATGTTGATTGAGCAAGCTCTATTGAGGTCTTACATCATATGCTAAGAAATTTTCTTTTCAGACTTGGAGTTATTTATTGTTAAAGATTATAAACTGAAGTTTCCAAAATGACTTGAGTATAATAGTTGATGAACTTTGACTTCATATTCTAGGATGAGACACGAGATCACTTGAAAAATGAAATGTGTGAAATTTAGAGAAATCTTTGTTAAGGATGTATGTTAAACATCACATTTCATGCTAAAAAAAATCTAAATTCGAAGATTGAGGTAATAAATAAACATTAAAGTTTTACTTCACATATATAACAAAAAAAAAACATTTATAGTTACAATAGTGTAAACCGAGCTATTGGGTCAAAAGAAGAATATTTAATAAATATGAGTTTAGTAAGAAAATTGTAACAAGTCTATATAATTGTGAGTCTATGATTTCATACCAAATTTTGGCAATAACAAAAAAAAATTGATATCATATTCCACCCAAGGAGCTGAGTTCAAAGGTATTAATTAGTGTTGAAAGTAAAATAAACTCTCTGTATATATATATATATATATGTTTAGATATTAACAATAGATGTGTCTACAATACATCCAATAATTTAAATACATGTGAAAAGCCACAATGCTTGTATGAACTTTAAATTTTGCTACAAAATATGTTGTTAAAAAATTATAAGTTAATTATTCAAGAAATACATAATTTTGAATGCACCTGAAATATTTGTCTATGGTATACACACTTTACCAATTATTAATATAAGTAATGAAAATTTTGTTCTAGAACAAACACCAAATATAAAGAAATTTTAGCAAATGGATATTCAAATAGTTGAAAATTTTTACATTGAAAGAACATGTTAAGATGAGAACCTTCGATAAAGTATATGAATCCTTCGATTCAGATTCTAAACAAACATCTAGACAAAATGCATGGGTTGAGGGTTAGTACAAACTTAAAATATTAGCAATTGTAATAAGTTGCTATACAAAGACTTCATGAACATCAACAATAAAAATGAGTGAGGTTTAGAGAATTTAATCATTATAAGGGATACAATGTGTGCCAAATTTCTATTGGGATAAACATAATTTATCCAGTAATCACGTATCTTTTTCCAATAATTTGAACTCTGATTAATTGGCTGAGAGTTCGTACAAACTCGTGAATCATGAATTGTTATATGTTGTATAAGATAATAAATTTGAGCATCTTGGTGGAAATTTTTTTATATACGATCCTAAATGGGACGTGATAAACCTTTACGACAAGATTTATAATCAGAGAATAAAAATATCACAAGCTAGTGTGCTAACTATCAAATATTATTCAATATAGCCATACCACATATTCACTTATGAAGCGAGAGCAGAAAATGTATACAAGATCCAAAAAGTTCAAGCATGTAGATAAGTTAACTAATATAAATAATAAAATGAACTTCTCCGGCCAACTGGCCGGGTAAAAAACTAGTATGTAACAAGAGCAAATCTATGGTTTTTTTTGTGTTTATTAAGGAGACACACTTATCTTGAGAATTATTTAAGTTATATGGGGTTGGTTGTTATTTAGGATATGCATTATAATTGCTGCCTGATGTTTTAAGTGATAATTTTCATATGAATCCTAAAATGTTACAATTTTACGATTTTAATCTACAATTTCGATTTTACGTAAATCTCGATTTTGACTGCATTGGGAGAACGTATAGCAGCATTTGTGAGCTTGTGATAGCACAGGTGAAGCATAAGAAAGAAATAGAAAGCTACATAGTTAGAGTGGTGTGCATGTTGGTATTCGTGCAATGTCGTTACTAGTTCTAGTACTGCATACCTTTTTCCGGAGAGTAACACGGTGGGTTCGCGGAACAAAACCAAATACTAAATGTTGGATTCTACATCTCACAAAAAAGATAACTGATGGCACGCGTCTATTAGGAGGCATGTTCGACTTGCATAAAGTGACGTTGTTCAGTTGAAGAGATGACTTGCATAAGGTGACTGAAGCATAAGGTGACGTTGTTCAGTCGAAGAGATGACTATTCGGAGTAGAAAATGGAATGTCAGCCGATATTGGAAAATGAGACAATGCACAAACGATCTCAATTCATGTAGTGACGGGAAGATGTGAGTAACACTTGCGGAAAGTTCCACGAAATACACTTGTCTTGCAAGTTGCAACACACAAATCGTGCTTATTCCTGTGAAAAGCGTTCACATGGACCCTCTTATCATTTTGTTACTCCATATTATAGGATTTCAGTGTGTCGTCAAAGTTTGTGAATGATAAATTCGTGTCTTTAGCTCAAAAAGGCTCTGAGCGTGATGGATAAGCTTTATTGGCTCAAGTATGATTAGGGGTGGTAATCGGTTAACCGGTTACCGACCGACCCGGTTACCGATATACCATTCACGACAGGAGAGAAGCCGGATACCGCTACCGGTTTGTAACCGGTTAACCGGTTACCGAACACCCGGTTAACGGTTACAAACCGGTTATACCGGCTACCCGCGAGACACACCTCCTCCTCTCTTTCTCATTCACCCATTCTCGACAATCGGACTCTCTCTCTCTTGAACCCTCCCCAGACCACCTCTCTCTCTCACGTTCACCTCTCCCCAACCTTCCCAGACCTCCTCTCTTTATCGATTTCCTCTCATCTCCCCATCCCTACACTAATCGCCGCCAACCGCTGCCGTCGTCGTTGTCGCCGCCGCATCGAACAAGCTTGCTCTCTGCCCTCACCACCATTCCAACCTCCAGTCGCCGCCCGATTAGGGATTTTTTGGGGGTGTCAAGAAATCCGGGTGCCTCCTCTCTTGATCCAGATCTCCGGCAACCATCCCGCCGCCATCTCGTCGTAGCCCTCCCTTTGCTCCTGATGCTCCCACCAAATACAGATCCAAAAGCATGGAAACTCCTCGGGAGGAAGAGCGAGTCGCCGGCCACGCTCCGGATCTGGAATCTAGACTGACTGAGAACCGTTGCGGGTGGGAGACTGCATCTCGCCGAATCTGACCTCGAGAGGAAGAGAGAGCCGCCGCACAAGGGAGTTGCATGGAGCCGGAACTGGAATCTAGAGGGAGAGGGAGTCGCCAGATTGGATGCTGTGTTCGAAAAGGAGAGCGATGCGTCGGACTCGTTTCTGGGTTCTTCCAACGACGGCGGCAGAGGAGTGGAAAGAGGTGGTGGTTGGGCGAGCAAACCCATCGCTCTTTGCCCTCTCTCCGGTGACGACGCATCCCTTTGACGATGACGAATCGGCGGTCATGGTCTGAATCAAGAAATCGAGAAAGAGAGGAGGGGGTTTCACAGAATCTCTCACGGTGAAGGTTCTGTTTGTGGAAGGAAGAGAGAATTTGAGGGAGATTAAGAGGGAGGAGGGAGAGAGCAGGTGGAGTGAAGGAACTGATTGAAAAAGGGGAGAGGGGTTTTGCCTTCTATCGGTATACTCGGTTATACCGAGTAACCGGCGGTTACTTACCGATTATAGGTCGGTATACCGACAGCTGGATTTCTCCTGCCGTATACCGATACCGCCGGTTAACGATTAACCGGTAACCGCCGGTTATCGGTACGGTTATCGGTTAAACCGTTAACCGGCTAACCGGTTACCAGCCCTAAGTATGATGGACAGTAGCTATTACCAACCATTTGGAGTACTAGGAGCATTTGTGAGCTTGTGATAGCACAGAGGAAGATGGGTGAACACAATCAACAAATATTAGGGGTCGTTTGGAGAATGGGATTTTGGGCGTGGATTCATTGAATCCGTAGATTTTGTAGAAAGTTATGTTTTTTTGTTTATTTTTGTATTGTGGATTTGAACTTTAGAGATTTCAAATCTCTAAAATCTACGGATATCAAATCTCTCATAATCAGAGATATTCTATATCTTGATTCGTGAGATTTTTTTCCTCCTACCTTTTCTCTTTGTTTTATTTATTTATCATATTAAATATATTTATCACCAAAGTTTTTAATATTTCTCGAACCACTCTAATTTTTTATTAAGGATAAACACGTTATATAATATAAAAATAATTTTTTTTATTTTCATTGAATGTTAACAATCACAGTTACCAAACAATAAACATTTTAAAATCTATTTTCAACAATCCGAAGAGTTAGAATCTTTAGATTGTTGACAATCTATAGATTTAAACTCATATTCTCCAAACAACCCCTTAATTAATAATAATAACCCTTAATTAATAATAATAATGTGATGTAGATAGAAGCAAAAGGCGTCCAAATTACAAAAGGAATGCGGCGACCTACAAAGAAAGGAATTCGAATCTAAATAAATACAACCGGTTTACCCTCCTCCCCGCCTCGAATCAAAGCCCAAAAAGAATAGTAACGAATCAAATTGCCAACAAAGTGAGTCCGAAATGAATGTGTTTAACCATGGAAATGAATCAAATATGTGAATCGAACAACAATCACACAGCTCCATCCTCTCTAAAATGCAACGGCCGCCATAACAAGTGCGGCCAATCCTCCCATCATCATCTTCTGCACACTCCTCGAGCTCTCTGCACCACTCTGCATAAACACACACATAATAATAGATTAAGAACACTGCAATTCACTCATTTTCAGGGGAAACAATTGATCATTGGGTCATAATTCAAGAGGTTTCACTCAGATCTCCACGAATCTATCACTCCAAACACAGAGATTTCCCTAATCTCTATCTATAAACACACTAGATCTGATCTCTCGTTAAAGACTGAGGTACTCCCCGGCGAATTCCGCACTACCTACTATTCCTATTTCCAGATCTGAGAACGCAATCAAAATTTCGAACGGCTTACCTCATCGGCAACGACGGGACCAGGGGCGTTAGCTTCGGCGCTAGGTCCGGGAGCCCCGACAGAAGGAGCGGGAGGGCTCGACAATGAAGGAGAGGGAGCCGGAGATCCGCTCTTCTTCTTCGACTTCTTGCTGGGAGCCGGCGCCGGAACATCAGCAGCGGGAGGAGAGGCGGTAGGCGTAGCGGCGGCGGCGACGGGAGCAGGCGTAGGAGGAGCAGTAGCTGCTGCAGGCGGAGGAGAACTGACTGGTGAAACGGCAGCAGCTGGAGGAGAGCTGACCGGAGTCGCCGCTGCTGCTGGCGGAGTAGCGACCGGTGCTGCGGTTGGAGGTGCGGAGGAAGGAGTGGCAGCGGGGGGAGAAGAAGCGGGAGCTGGCGATGCAGGCTTGGTAGCGGCGGGGGCGGTGGATGGTGCTGTTACGGGAGCAGCGGGGGTGGCTGGAGTGGTGGTGGTTGTCGGTGCGGCTGCCGGAGCTTGGCCGCCGACGCCGGCGACAATCACGCAGACCAGTGCGAGAACAAGCGTCATACTCTTGCCCTCCATTTTTTTTTTTTTTTCTGGCGAATTATAGAGAGCAGTAGTCGTCGAGAGATTAGAGAGAGATGTGGAAGAGTGGTGAGTGTGGGAGGGGAAGAGCCGAGGAGAGTGTGATTTATAGGAGAGAGAGAACATCATTTGCAACGGACGGATGTCAGATCGATCTGGATCGTTGATTTTTGGGATGAGAGGAAATGAGGGGCCCGCAGGACAGCCGTTGGATGAGAGTGTGGGGTTTTTGCGGTGAATTTGGCTTTTTTTTTTTCTTTTGTTTTTTTTTTTGGAATCAAACGGAAACGGAGAGAGGGCTTCTTTTGTGTCTCTGTGACTGTGAGGTTTGGGCGACACAGACACGGGCCAGCAGCTGGGCCGGGGCCCGCAGTAGGATGGTGGACTGGCGGGCGGCGTTTGTGATTTGTGTGCATCAATGCATGTGCTTAGCAATGCCACGTCGGCTCAAACAACCTGTCTTTTTGTCTTTTTAATAATAAGTTGAATAATAGATTGATCAAATCACCATTTCAACTAGCCGATACCAATTATCATCTTCGGCACCCTTTCGCAATTTATACCGAGAATATAATTTGTGACTGCGTGTTTACAGAGGCCGTAGCCGCCGTAAGTAGGCACTGACCGTTAAACGAATGCGATCATAATCTGATAAATGAAATGTTACCGTGTCCATTTTAGAGCTATGAATGTTTAGTGTCGGATTCAATGACGCCCAACCAATGTAATCACAGGAGGCTGTGTGAACACCATAGCAGCATTTCCCCTTTCATAATCATGCAATTACTGTCATTTTGCCATTCAAACATTAATTTTCTTTTCAGAATATTCAGGCCTACATTAATATTTCCTGGCACGGAGGGTTGAATTCTCAACGTTCAATGAAGTAAAGAAAAGAGTTCAATTTTCTAAACTCTTACACTTTACCGTCAACTTAAAAAAAAAACAACAAACAAATAAAATATTGGTGAAATGGAAGTGGGTTTTGGCCAGGCCGAGGCGTAAAGGAAACGCGAAGGGAGACTGTTTTTGGAACCTATAACAGTTGGCTTGAAGAAAGCGAAGGAGAGACTTGCATTGTGAATAACAGTTGGCTTGGATTCAGTGTTTTGCGGGTGATGACGGTGCGGAGATGGAGGGTGAAGACCGAAGAATATACAGCTGTAATGACAAAGAGAGAAGATTGGCATTTTGTGAGAAAGAAAGCAGCACGTATGTGTATTAGGGCTCTTAATGGGTCGAGTTATTTGTGAGCGGCTCGATATTGAACTTTATAAAAGCTCGTTTGATTAAAAAAAAATTTGGCTCGTTTATTGCTTGGTATTGAACTTGATAAAAGCTCGTTCGATTAGAAAAAAGCTCGGCTCGTTTATTGCTCGGTATTGAACTTGATAAAAACTCGTTTGATTAACAAATAAAAGCTCTACCTTGTTCGGCTCGTGAAGCTCGTGAACTAGCTCGATTAGGTGGCTCGTTGAATACAACTCATGAATTGTCTCGTTTTGAACTTATGAGATGTCCCAACATTTTGACTAGAGAGCCAACTTAACTACAACATATGAGAAAATCCATTTATATTTAATGAGTTGGTTTTTGAATGATGAATATAATTATTAAATTGTATATATCACCTCATATGGTGTTTAATACATTTAGTATATGTAAGCAAATACGTTTCATATATGACATAACATTAGGTAATCACATATATCACATATGACATATAAATATTAGGGTATTTATATTAAAAATTATCTTAGAATTTAGCTCGAGCCAAACTTTCGATCTCAATGATGTGTCAAGATTAATAGATGAGTTGATTCGTACTTGATTCAACTCGACTCGTTTATAAACGAGCCGAACATAAACAAAGCAAAGCTCGACTCAACTCATTAACAGCCTATACCAATGAGCAAGTTGCGCCCCGGCGAAAATGGAGGAATGCCTATCTGTTATTACCCTTGTCCTCCTCTACACTACATTTGGGTCGTCATTTCTAACTAGATAAATCACAATTCACAACCATTTGGAGCACGTAGCGGTAGCAGCATTTATGAGCTTGATGATACCATAGAGGAAGATGGGTGAACACAATCAATAATCTATATTATATATTATGGCAATTAAAAATAATTTTTTGCCGCATAAGCATTTGGAGGATTCACAATTTGCCAAGTTGGACAACTTTTTTACAAATAAAAAATTGAGTTATTAATGTATTTATGGAGCTACCTCTCTCTTCTTTAATATTTTCATTTCTTTTATCTAATTTATTTTTTCATTTATACTATTTTTTTTTTTTGCTTTGATAATAAGTTACATATTGATAAACTTAACCAAAAACACATAAATAATAATTTTTTGTCAAGTAACAAAATATAAATAAGAAAAAAGAGAGTGACATATATCACAGTTTCTAAAATAATAAAAAAATATATGATTAAACCTTATGAAGTAAATTCTCTCCTATTTTTACTAAAATTGAATGATAAGTTACATTTTGATGAAAAAATTAAACATACATACACATAAACGATAATGTTTTTATCTATTAAACAAAATATATATAAAAAGAGAGAAAATAAACATTTGATATTCAATTACCTTCGAAAAATAAACTACATTACTTTATATTTTGTTGCAATCAAACACTCTCTTATTCGTAAAATATATGTCTATAAAATAAAACAAGTATTATTTAGCAAAATGTCAGAGTATAATCTTGACGAACTTTGACTTCATACCCTAGGATGAGACACAAGATTCCTAGAAAATTAACATATGTGAAGGTTAGAGAAATCTTCGTTGAGAATCTACTATAAACATTACGTTTCATCAACTTCTAACCTAGGCATTTACCAAATAAAGGTTGTCAATTTTTAGTAAGATAGTCAATTGGGATAAGCATATTTTTCCAATCAAGTATCTTTATCCAATAATCTCAACTCTCAAAATTGGTTGTCAGTTCGTCCAAATTGAAAATCACGATTTGATATATGTTGTATAAGATAATAAGTTAATGCAAATAATCAAATGAAATCCACCAATATTTTTCAAATGATAAGACATTTTAAATGCACTTGAAATATGTGTATTTTAGACATTTTTTATAAATTATTAATATATAAATGATAAAATCTTTGAAAATTACATAAACAACTAATACTGCACAATATTAGTGTGATTTAATTCGCGATATTCTTTGTTATCCTATACCAGCAAACGAGAAGGGAGAAAAGGATAAGATCTTCACGTGTTTTTATTAATTGTAACCTATTTGCTTCTTTTTAACTTATTCGTTTGTGGCCTTTAATTTTTAAAATTCTTTGGTCATTTTTGCTTGATAAAAGAATAATAATCTCTTATGTTGTTTAACGGCAGGTCCGATTCAAAATGAACGCGTGGTACAATTATTTCTATTCATTTTGTAATTTTGACATCCTCAATTTACATCTTAAACGGTGGCTTTCGATACAAAATTTTATATCAATACAGAACCATCTTCAATAGTTAATTTTATAAATTAAAGTTTTTATATAAATAAACAAAAGCTAAAACGTGTGAAACAATTGCTTAAATAAGATATTGAGATTAAAATTCCATGTATAACAGTAGGGGTGGGAAACCAACCGATCCGGTTTAAATTGGACCGGATTAACCCGGTTTTTTAAAACCGTTTTGGCAAATACCACAACCGGAATTTTAATCCTTCTCAATTTCCCAAATCCTTCTCAATTTCCCCTACTGTTATACATGGAATTTTAATCTCAATATCTTATTTAAGCAATTGTTTCACACGTTTTAGCTTTTGTTTATTTATATAAAAACTTTAATTTATAAATTAACTATTGAAGATGGGAGTGATTAAGGAGATTGAGAAGGATTTGGGTAGTTGGAGAGGATTGGTGAAATTGAGAAGAGATTTGGGTAGTTGGAGAGGATTGGGGAGATTGAGAAGGGAAGGATTAGAGGGGATTGATGGAGGCAGGGGATAGTGGCTGCGCAATATTAGGGTTAGTGTGTTGAGGATGGGGTAGCAGGTGCATTTAGGGTTGGGCTGAGGTCGGTTGTGGGCTGGGGTTGGTGGGGGGCTTGGGTAGTGGGCTTTAGTAGGTATTAGGCAAGCTGGGCTTGTTAGTATATATTTTATTTTTTACAACCCGGTTTTTCCAGTTTTAACCGGATCGGACCGGCCATACAAAGGCCAAAACTGTAAACTAGATTAGGTAAATGCGTATCCGGTTTTCGGTTGCAACCGGCACGGTTTTAACCGCCCGGTTTCCGAACGTGTGAAACAATTGCTTAAATAAGATATTGAGATTAAAATTCCATGTATAACAGTATAACATATATGAGCCATAAAAAATTAGAATATTACAAAGATAAATTATCAAGGTTAGAGAATTTAATCATCATGAGAACTACGGTGTGTATCAAGTTTCAATATGGATAAATAAAGGATTAATACATTTCCATAGCCATAACTTTCACGATTTTGACAATTATAGCCACTTTTCAAAAAATACACAAACATAGCCACAATTTTCAAATTAGGTTGACAACTTTAGCCATTTCCGTTACAAACTTTAACGTCGTTAAGTACACCGTCAGTTAAGTGGATGTTAAGTTGACGTGGATGCCACCGGGGCGACACATCATCTCAAACTAGACACACGTGGATGCCACGTCGTATTTTAAACAATAATTTTAAATTCAAAAATTAAATAAGTATTATTTCAATAATTTTTGCTTTTCTTTAATATTTCCTTCTCTCTTTTAGATCTGAGGCACTAGGCCTTCATCTTCTCAAGCAAAGGCGCCGGACGGCGGCCACGGTGCCCTCCCCACGGCACCTCCCAAATCCAACCCACAGCCTCCCATTTGCAATTCTTCTCCCAAATCACCCTCTCCTTCCCCTTCATCTCCCATTACCTAAAGAACTCTTCCGCTTCTTTACTCATTTTCACATAAATTTAACAAAGTAGATCTAGAATTCTGGGTTTTTGGGATGAAGCTTGAAATTAAGAACTGGGTTTTCTTTCATCAACGCTCGAAAAGAAGAAACGATTAATAGCGGCCGGAGTTGGATGCAAACCTTCCAAGCTCCGCCAATGGAACCAGCGGGAGCAAGATCTTGGCCCCCTCTTCTTCGCGTCGTCGGTCGGGGTCTGGGTCGATGTCGAGCTCCGCCAAAATCAAGCGGATCTTGCAGTTCCTGATCGTTCTAATCCCTGTAGTCATGGTGGTCGGCGGGAAGGATGTTTCCTCGTCGAACCCGTTGGGACGCTGACTAGCTGCTCGACGGCGGTGATGCCAGAGGTCACCACCTCTTGGTTACTGACAAGTGAAGTGACCGATTAAAAAGCGGGCGGGGTAGTGGTAATGGTCGGTGGGCAAAGTGGGCGGCGAACCTAGGTCTAGCTCGCTTCTTCGTTCCTTCCTTCTCCACTGTGTTTGTCGATTGAAAGAGACAAGGGTCTGGGTCTGAAATCAGAATTGGAATGGAGTATAGGCGAAGGATTTGGGGAATTTTAATTGGAATGGAGTATAGGCGGAGGATTTGGGGAATTTTTTTCCCATGGTAGAGGGTTTTGCGAGAGATATGTCCTAACTTTTATTTTTAATTTTATTTATTCATTAATTAAAAAAATATGATTGTTTTCCACCTGGCAAGGACGCAAAATAAAACACGCCACATCAACCGCTGTTGTTAGTCTAGTCAGCGGGTTAAGTGAACCGTTAAAGAATTGGACGGAATTGGCTATATCTGTGTATTTTTCAAAAAGTGGCTATAATTGTCAAAATCGTGAAAGTTATGGCTATGCAGGTGAATTAAGCCATAAATAAATTGATCCAATAATGAAATATCTTTATTAAAAATTTCTCACTAAAAAGTCCTAATATTTACAACATTGGTCGAGAGTTTGTCCAAACTCGGGGATCATGAATGTGTATTGGATTTCCAAAGGACCTAAAATCTCAATCTCTTTCGAGGGCTAAATACCTCTGATCACAACCATAGGTGCCAAAGAAGAATGTAAAGAAGCCCAAAAAAACAAAAAATAACATAACCTTTGATACGATGAACCGAATAAAACTATATCGAGCTATGATCCTGTCATCCCTACCCATTTATTCTTCATAAAGGGGGCGGCGGGAGAGGATATGAAATAAATAGCAAGATATTAAGATTTGCCTCTTTAGATATTACATATCGAACGATAGACAACCCCAACGATTGTTTGACGTTATGATGGTAAAAGCGGGATCTCTATCTCGGGGTGGGGATAGGCAAGTCGCACTTTTAATATGAGTATTAGGAGAGATAAGATAGGTCTGAGTAAGTATCTGGATAATTTTGAGTATACTATATATATACACATATATATAATATCAAGGTATACTATACTTTTGATTTTATTCAAAATACGATAGGTATGACGGTATGACGAAGTATGCGCATAAATTAGAGGTTAGAGAATTAGGGACTGGAGTTCACCCATTAGAGGTTAGGGTATGGTATCATGCCCTAAAAAATTCTGGTTAATTCGGAGTCTAAATAGTAAAACTTAATGGTCGTATGATAGTGTGAACACAAGAGTATAGTGTACTCCTGGGGCACACTAGCTAGGTTGAACTATATATATCTGTGGGGGATGGGGGGGGGGGGGGGGGGGAGGTTCAGGTTGACGTACGCTAAATATTAGTGTTTC